TTTTTGGAAAGAGTCTGTTTTCAGGCTGTGTTGGTTACAGAGGTCTAGCAGGTCGACGTCAGCCTTAGAAACATGTTTTCTGGAATGAACCTGCTGTCTGATGAGATTAGTCTGTGAGCAGACTAGTCTGGGAGCTATCACCAATTGGCTCTCATCTCCATGCTCATTGGAGCAAGTTGTCATTGAGTTCTGTTGCTTACTTGCTAGCATGGCAACAAAGAACCAGAAAACTCTTCCTAGCAGTGTGGAAACTCCTTTAAATTCTCAGATGCAACATGGACAACTGATGGCTTAAAACGATAATTATGTAGAAGAAACAAATTACATATTTATTTAACATCAATCTCAGGCCCCAAGATAACTTGATGATCAAAAGAAGAGATATGTGGACACTAAAGTTTTTTCTTTTCCTGACCCCTTTCTTGTGAGTTAGCCCTCTCACTTTAGATAATATTGGTGAGTTTCAATCAAGAGGTAAAACCCCCACAAAGAAAACATTGGAGCTGTTTCTTTAGACCAGCCAGTCAGACGTTCTTTACTGGTCTTTGAATTTCAGGATGAGTGATTCAAGGGGAGGACGGCTTCTTCCTGAATCATAGATCCTAGAAAGTCACGGAGCCCCTGGCCCTGCCATTTCAGAATTTGGATTTTTGTTCTTTCATTCTATAAGCTACCCCATATCCTTCTGAGAAGCTCTTTTAAGTTAACTATTGTCATTTTCTCTCGCTTGCAGCGAAAGAAACCTAACGGCGCACCTCAATCTCAGAGCAACACATTTATATCTTCTGGTGTGCACCTTCCATTTCTGATCCCTTCAACACTTTTGTCCAGACACAGATCTGCTGCAGGAACTAGTTTTGTGCTTCTACCGTAGACCATGACCAACCTCTGACAATCGTGAATAAACACACTGATGTTTGACCTTGGAGGGTCATGTTTAAGCTATTTTGAAGCTGGTTAGCTCTTACTTTAGCCAAAGCTATTTTGTTGGCTGTTTTGATATACATAGGCATTGTGAAATGATTACAACAATCAAGCTAATTAATACACCCATCATCTCACATAGTTAGCTTTTGTGTGTGTGGTGAGAACACTTAAGATCTCTGCAAATTTCAAGTATATAATACAGTATTGTTAACTGTCATTAGGCTGTACATTAGATCTCCAGAACTTATTCATCTTATAACTGAAAGTTTGTTGCATGGATGTATTGTGAGTCTCGAGCAACAGAACAAAAATCAACTAATATGCTAGTAAAACCAGGACTACAGTGCCAGCAAGAAACATGGCAGCTAATATCCTTAGTCTCTTATTTTTATACATATTTTGCTTTAATTATTCCCTCTCCTGTCTTGACCCCCATTTCCACATGCACGTGGCTGAATAAGGTTACTAAAAGGTGAATCCTAGAAATGAGGCTGCTGTCTATCAACGTAGGTCAAATAAAGCATGGTAGTTAGCTAGTATCATATAGCCAAGGGGGATAAAAAGCTCATCCAACTGACTTGGTTCAAGCGTGTATGTCTCATCCTGAGTCCACCAAGTAGTAGGAGAAGTTGTCAAAGTGAGTTGTGGAGTAGGTATCATATAACTGGAGCTGTGTTACAAATATGGAGCTATATCACAGATTCCATATTGCAATTCCCTATTGCATAGTGCAATCCCATATTGCACACCAACTATGATTTGATAATCACCCAAGACCATTCAAGCATCCAAAACTACTACATCCAAAATGGCTTTATACCATTACAGTGTTAACCTGATATCTTTTTTCCCTACCAAGTCAATACGGAACTCTACTTTGCAGCATAGAATAATCAACAAAGATGGCCCCTGCTCTGCAAATCCCTAAAGCATGAGATTTGCAGGCACCTGCGTGTTTGGAATGAATCTCCTTGAAGCAACAAACATTTTTTTTTCCATTGTACCCCCAGGTTGAAGATAGATGAATCTGATGCTCGAATCCACAAGCTACTGAAAGAAATCAAAGACAGCAACCCACAACTGACTATTGAGAGTGATCAAGACCCAGAAAATAACAGACCTTCTTCCCGTGACTTCATTTTCTGAATCCCCTTGGAGTTATTCCTTCTCCAATAAAGTTATGAATCTTCAAGGTGGTGGTGAACTTCCTATGAGCCTTCTCAGTGGTCCTAATTTATGGGCCAGACGTTATTTTAGCCATGGTTGTGCCTGTGGCTTACGTAAACATGCACAAGTCACTTAACTCTGTTATGAATGAAGTGTCTGTATCTTGAGTATATTGAGAGAAATAAAGGTAGGAGCATTCATGAGTGTCACTGTATTTATTAATGGATTCTGACCAAACTTAGAAAAAAGATACTTTATTTGAAGGGAACTTAGTCGAGGGGGTGGCGTGGGGAGGTTAGGGATGGAAATGTCTGTGATCACTTTGATTTCTGTTTACCTTGCCGGTCATTGCCCTGTTCTGGTATTTCTTGACCTGCATGGATAACTGTCTGATAAATTTTCATCATCAGATTATTACTCCTACAAGTCTCACAATATTCTGTAGCACTCTTAGGTGCTTCAATGAAGCACATATATTATCATGTCGTTGCTCTGATTAGCTTTCTAATAATTCCAACTATACTTACAGAAAACATCATGGTATGCATAGCTCTTCCTGATAGAGTCCCCAATATGTCCTTGTGACAGACAGAATCCCAAAATTCCTTAAGGAAATAGTGTAAGTAAGAATTACCTTTTCTAAGTACTAATTTTTAAATTTTTCTTCCAATCCTCCTCCTTTCTCCTATTTCTTCATTGGGATCCATTAGTTCATCACTCTCACCAAATACACCACATTCCCACACATCACCTTTAAATCATCCTATAACAAGCTCCATCATTTCAGCGATGTCATTGCACACACTGTGGGCTCCTGGAGTTTCCTGTAAGTTTCCTTCTGTCCCCGTCTCAAGGCCTCTTGTTCAGCTGGATGTAGGTCATTCCTAGAGAATCTTCCTTCTAAGATTCTAAGGGGTGAATGCCTTTAGTGGTAGTGTGTGGGGTTGTTAAAAGAAATAGAGGCACACAATTCCTCTTAAAAAGCTTGAAAGGAATTTAGATGTCTTCTAGCCATGGATTTCTTGACCTCTACACTAACATCATTTGGGGCAGGTAATTCCTGTTATCTCAAGAGAAGATACTCTTGTGAGAGAGAGACTGTCTGTGCATTTGTAGGGTGTTAGCGGCATCTCCACCATCTACCCACTAACTACCAGGACATCCTTCACAATTGTGACAACCAAAAATGTCTCCAGGCACCAGCAAATATCCCCTGGGATGCAAAATGCCCCTAGGCTGAGAACCACTATAATCCAGCCCACCATTCTTCCTCCCAGCTTCAACCTCATCCAAAAAGTTTCTCTGCATTTACTCCCTTCTAAACCTGCAATACTGAGCAGATTGACATCCAATTCACAATCACTGTAGTTCACACTGGCAAATCTACAAGTTTCCCTATCTTGCCTGATCCCTTGTAGCATTTTATATGCCACAGACCATAAGCCCTACTTTTAGAAATTCCAATTATCCCCTTTCTGGTTTATTTTCCTTTTAACCAACCACCACCCCCCATCAAAAAAAAATTCCCTGTAGGAAGACTCAGAGTCAACTGGCAGAACTAGATTAAACCAAGCTCCAGACCTGAATAGCTTCAGGTAGATCATTTAATGTGTCCAAGTCTCACTTTCCTCATCTGTAAAATGGACAAATCTTCATTGCAATTTGACAATCTGGTTTGTTGTTGTTTTACTTTCATCATTACCTTAGGATTTGTTTATTCCTCTATCATAGAGATATACATTGCCAGGATTGAAAAACTCATTCACCAGACATGTAGCATCAAATATGACATTTGAGTAGCTGTGCACAGCTCAGATGCTCATACCTCCTCCTGCCCCTGTTCTTTGAACACCAGATACCACTTCACTTTCTTCTTTTGCTCTTTCCCTTCATTTTTGGAGATGGAATCCCAGCTTGTATGGCTGAATTATCATGGAAAGTGATTGACCAAGGTAGATTAGAGGACTATCTCATTCTTTAATCTTGCTGCTGCTGCTGCTGCTGCTATCTTTTTTTACTGAGGTATGATTGACAAAAAAACTGTATGTATTTAATGTTTACATCTTGATGAGTTTGAAGATAAGCATACACTTGTAAAACTATCACCATAAACATAACCATCACCTGTAAAAGTTTCCTCCCCCTCTCTTTTTGTGATCAGAACATTTAACATAAGATCTACCCTCTCAACAAATTTTTAAGCATATACGATAATATGGTTAACCGTATGCACTATGCTGTACAGCAGATTTCTAGACTTATTCTTTTTGCATAACTCAAACTATGTACCCTTTGACCAATATCTCTCCCATTCCCCCTCTCCCTAGCCCCTGGTGCCACCATTCTACTCTCTGTTTCTATGAGTTTGACTATTTTAGATTCTTGATATAAATGAGATCATGTAATATGCGAATTATCTACATTTTAGTGTATTTGCTTGAGTTCCTCAAGGTTTTAAGATTGGAGTAAGATTCCTCTCCCCCAGCATCACATTCAGGCACAGAATTTGTCAGTGAAAAGTGGAGATACTATTCTAACCGATTAAAAATATACCTATTTCTTTTTCTCTAGAAAATCTCATGGCCAAGCCCAGAATATCATCACGGCCAATCTTTAAGATGGTCCCTGGGAGAAAGTTATCATCCGAGGTCAGCATCTGAGGTTCACTCTAATAGGAGCTGGGACCCCATGTGTGTACAAGAGTCACACCCATGGAGGAGCCAGGCTAGATTCCATCTAAGGACTGTGCGTGTCACCAACAGAGAGGCTTCAGTTTTGCAGGAGGGGACAGCCCCCAACAGGTGGCTGGAGGCTGGTAACAGGGAAGGGAAAGTATATCTGACATATTCCACATAGCTCCCTAGGACAAGTGACCCCACACAGAGATGAATACATGTCAGGGAGAATGATTTTTTTCTTTTTATTGAGGTGAAATTCAGATTACATAAAGCTAGCCACTTTAAAGTGAACAACTCAGTGGCATTTTGCACCGTCACAATGTTGTGGAACCACCATCTCCATCTAGTTCCAAAAATTTCCACCATCCCAAGATTATATATATATATATTGATTAAGTAATTACTCCCTATTCTTTCCTCCCCTCAACCCCTGGCAACCACCAGTCTGTTTTCTGTCTCTGTGGATTTACCTATTCTGGTCTGTAGGACAAGTTTAGGACTTTGGACTCTCTTTCTAATATGAAGAGAAGCCATTGACAGGTTAATTATAGCTATCATATTCTAGGGAAAAGAACAGAATGCCCAAAAGCCTGAAAGCAGCAGGCCCATTCCAAGAAACAAAAGGAGATTTATCAGTCTGCCTTTGAGGATAGGGTTGGAGTGAAGGGTAGCTTGGGGATAACCAGAAAAGAGCACAGGTGGGCAAGGGGGGAATGTGGGAGGGTTTTGTGCAGAGAATAGAACAAGGTCAGCTATGAGAGTTAAGAATATGAGAGGTCAATCTGGAACCCTTTTTAGAGAAGGCTGACAGAAGAGTAAGGATGATGGCCCAGTTAGGGTACCACAAAATCCACAGCATGCAAGATAACGGTGAAGAGACTTTGGCATCCACGACATTCCTTCCATCCCAAACAAAAGGAGTTTCCGGCACAGAGCCAAAGAGACACTGAGTCACCAGCTTCTTGATGGAGCTCCAAGAAAGGGCCACTGGCCCTCCTTTGCCACAGCTGTAGCCTCTAGCCTCTTTCTCTCACACGCCATACAAGTCCTCTTCCCACTCCCATGACCTATCCCTTAGATATAACCAAGCCTTGGGATTCTAATGGTGGCACCCAGGTTTATGACCATCTGGTCGACCCCATTCCTGACAACCAAGTGATTTCTGTGTCCGTGGGAGGGGTGGGAGTGGCCTGTGGACAGCTCTGACCCGGTGCACCAGGGGTTTCCTTCGGCTGTGCCAATCTTCTGCCAGAAACCCCACCAAGAGTATTAGAATCACCGCCCCAAGGCATATCCGGACCAGATTGCCCTTAGTGTAGTGCTGGTGGGCAAGACCTGGAGAGATTAAGAGAGACAGAAGCAAGTGATAAAAGCTTATCCCAAGGACCCACTCCAAGCCACATCTTGGGTTTCTCATAGCTGTATCCCTCATCTGAGATCTGATTATTCTATGCTAGCTAGGATGCCAATCTCCTTCCTAGAAGGTCCCTCCCCACCTCACCCCTCCAAAGGTCAAGACTAGATAAATCCAATTCTCTAAATATAACCTCCTCCATACACCCCCTCACAGGCCTCTGACACAACCCCTTACCACACACAAACACTACCAGGTCATTTGGCTAATTGTGGAAGAGAAGACTGTTAAAGGGGTGGGGAGAGAGATGGAATTTGTCTTTCTCGACCCTTTAGAAAATCTCAACCTTCACACCTGATCTTTGCCCAGTTCTGATCTCCACATGCTAATAATCCCTCTCCCTTTAATACTTTGCAAACCAGGACCTAACATCATAGAGCTGTCGCTTCTGTAGAGGGAGATCAGCCAGCTTTGGGTAAAGACACAGGGGTGGGAAGGGAGGTTGTCCAGAGAAGACCACTTACTCACCAGTTGGAGTGTCTGACCCCTTTGGGGAGACGGTGATATTCCTAGAAGGCTCTGAGAATCAAAAAGGTAAGAGTAAAGGGATGGGACCATCTCTCCTACCCATCTTCCTGCCCCTACCCTGAACACATGCACTTGGGAAGCAATTTCAGGGCTATAAGAAGAGCATGCAGTACAGAGTCAGGCTGCCCAGATATGAATCCCAGACCCATCACTTATTAGGTGTGGGGCCTCCATCAAATGACTTAACATCTATGAGCCAGTTTTCCCATCTGTCCTGAAGGTGACTGGGAACCCAGAAAGAATTTGAAGAGAAGATTTGGAAGAATCCCATCAGGGCCTTAGAATCTGCCAGCATCAGCAGCCTAAAGAGAGCTAGACTTGTGCAGGCCCAGTGGAGATATCTAACACATCCTCAGGGGATCTGTCGAGGTTTTCTGTCTTGAGGGAAATTGAGACTTTTCCCAGGAAAATCAAGGTCAAAGTGAACTTCTGGATGAAGGAAGCATATTTGCATTGCACTGGACTGGTAAGAGGATGCATTGTGTCCAGGAGCCTATGATCTACGTGGGGCTGAAGCACAGGCTGTGCATGGAGGCAATGGGAGCAAGATTGGTCTGATCTACAGAGCCCAGGCAGAAGAGCACTGCGTAGGGATGAGTGTGATGGTCTTCCCATGACAGCTTTGGCTCCACCATCTTGGAAATAGCCACATTACCCAGAATGCTGCTCTGTGCCAAAGCTCAGAGCCCAGCTCCATCCCATCCTCATCCTAAAAGCAAAGACTTTCCTGGGAAGAGTCAGGTGGTTTTGTGAAGCAGAGATAAAGCCTAGAGCCTCAGATGATGGAAGAGAACTCCCAACCCTCATACTCACTTCTGCTGAGCATTAAGTGCCTGGTTACTCACTCGTTGTGGAGACTTTGTTTACGAATGAGATGTTCAGTTTCCTGGAGGCTTCTGGGAATTCTAAGCAGAAGGATTACAAAGAAGTAAATAATGTCAGACCTGCTCAGCGAGCCCCTACTCTCCATACCCCTTCTGAGATATCTGGGCTCCCTGGAACCCATTTTTCTAACACACACTGCACAGACACTAAGGAGAGACAAACTCAAAAGGTCCTAAGACGTGTTGTCTTCTGTCTCTCAGTGGCTTAATAAGAAATGGATCCATTCATCCGTTGATGGACACTAGGTTATTTCCAAATTTTTGGCTATGAATAATGCTATGAACGTTCATGTACAAGTTTTTGTGCGAATATACATTTTTTAATTTTCTTGAGTATATACCTAGGAGTGGCATTGCTGGGTCATGTGGTAATTCTGTTTTGCTTTTTAAGGAATCACTGAATCATTTTCCACACAGTTACACCATTTTTCATTCCCACCAGTAATGTATGAGCGTTCCAATTTCTCCAAATCCTCACCAACACTTGTAGTTGTGCTTATTTTTATTATAATTTTAGCTATTCTAGTGAGTATGGTGAAATCACGGTATGTGGCTTGTATCTCAATTTTTAAATATGAAGTAGATCAGGAGGTCTGTGTGAGCTCACTGGAAGAACAAGCTGATACCAGCCTCTGAGCATAAGAGCCTCCCTCCCGACTAAGGCCATTTTCTTAACCTGAGACCTCCTATGATGTTTACATGACCACCAAAATACTTCCTGAACCCCCTCAGCCTATATATATGTGGCTCTTATTTAGTATGGGGACAGTCTCTGAGGTCCTTTTTATGGTGTAACCAACTCCTCAAAGCCTAGCATATGCTCACCTATCCATGGTAGGATCAGAGCTTGAATGTTGTTTGTTCTCTGTTGTTTCTCTTCCTGTGAGTTTCATTAATAAATTTTTGAATTTAGGTTTAAACATGGTGTGGTACCATGGAATACTACTCAGCCACGGAAAAGGGACACACTCTTGAAACATGCCACAACTTGGATGGATCTCAAGGGCATTATGCTGAGTAAAAAAAGGCAATCTCAGGGGCTGGCCCCGTGGCCGAGTGGTTAAGTTCGCGCACTCCGCTGCAGGCGGCCCAGTGTTTCGTTGGTTCGAATCCTGGGCGCGGACATGGCACTGCTCATCAAGCCACGCTGAGGCGGCATCCCACATGCCACAACTAGAAGGACCCACAACGAAGAACATACAACTATGTACTAGGGGGCTTTGGGGAGAAAAGGGAAAAAAATAAAATCTTTAAAAAAAAAAAAAGGCAATCTCAGAAGACTCCATTCTATATGATTCCATTTTTATATAACATCCTCAAAATGACAAAATTAAAAGGACGAAGAACAAATCAGTATTTTCCAGGGGTTAAGGATGGTGGGAGGGGAGGGGTAACTATAAATGGGTAGCCTGAGGAATATCTTTGTGGGAATGCAATAGTATGTTTTTTTTCTTGGAATAGGATCTTTGGAGCAGTGGTGGTTCCATGAATCTACATGTGTGATAAATTGACATAGAACTATACACATATGTTGTGCCAATGTCAGATTCCTGGTTTTTCTCTTGTACTATAATTATGTAAGATGTAACCACTGGGGAAATCTAGGAAAAGGGTACCTGGGATCATTCTGTACTATCTTTGCAACTTCTTCTGAATCTATATCTCAAAATAAAAAGTTAAAAAATTCCAATCAGAGGGGCTGGCCCCGTGGCCGAGTGGTTAAGTTTGCGCGCTCCGCTGCAGGCGGCCCAGTGTTTCGTCGGTTCGAATCCTGGGCGCGGACATGGCACTGCTCGTCAGACCACGCTGAGGCAGCGTCCCACATGCCACAACTAGAGGAACCCACAATGAAGAATACACAACTATGTACCGGGGGGCTTTGGGGAGAAAAAGGAAAAAATAAAATCTTAAAAAAAAAAAAAAAAAAATTCCAATCAGAAACACACACACACTGCAGCTCATTTGCCATGAGAGCCCCATACTGCCCTCAACCTCACACGTCAGCACATTTTTGTCAACCCTGGATCTTTTCAACATGCTTCTTGTTCCTTGGGATTTGAGTCTACACTGAGACATAGGAAACATTAGAGATGCCACAGCCTAGCACGTTATTTCTTAAGGCACAGGCTGTCATCAAATAAGACAGAATCAGCTGAGACGCCTTTGAAAATGGGGAAACACGATGACTCACACAAAATTTAGTGCAGTGTTTCTCAAAGTGACATCCCCAGGGCATCAGCATCAGCATCACCTGGGAACTTGTAAGAAATGAAAATTATTGGACCCAACCCCAGACTTTCCGGACCTGTCAGAGATTCTGAGGGGTCCAGAAACCTGTCCTTCGTAAGCCCTCTGGGAGATTCTTGGGCCCACTAAAGTTTGAGAACCCCTGACCAATGGCATTGAGACTCAGAAACGGAGTCCGGAATCTACAATTTTACAAGCCCTTCAGATTCCTCTTCTACACATTAGACATTTATAAAGCACCCCACTAAGGCTGGATAGAGCTGGGGATGTGGAACAGCAGAGTAACATCTAACTATTGGTTGTATCTACCTTCTTAACAGGAAGAAATAAGGGTTTTTTTGTTTTAGGAAGATTGGCCCTGTGCTAACATCTACGCCGGTCTTCCCCTATTTTATGTGGGACACCTGCCACAGCATGGCCTCACAAGTGGTATATAGGTTCGCACCCAGGATCTGAACCTGAAAACCCCGGGCTGCCAAAGCAGACCATGCAAACTTAACCACTACACCACCAGGCTGGCCCCAGGGATTTTTTTACTAAAGCAAATTTGTGAAAGAGACAAGTGAAATAAATTGAGAAATCTAGACAAAGAGGAGAAAAAAGAGAAGGGATCCATGTGCCTGTACCCCAGACACCGAGGGAAGCCTCCAGAACATACCTGTTATGGAGGAAGGTGGTTTTGTGGGCAACCGGGTGGAGGTCACAGAGGTCCCTGAGAAATCAGAAAAGGAGAGAATTCTGTGTTCTGTAAGCTGTAGGTCCTGAGCAGATAATAAAACATTCCTGCGCCGCAGTCTCCTCACCTGGAAAAATGAATATAAGGACATTTACATCACTGGATTGTCCTGGGGTTAATAGCATTGGGAAAGCACACTTAGCACATTTTGGGGCTAATTAATAATGACAGTCCCTATAGCCGGCTTCCTGGCTTTTCGAGCCTCAGTTCTGTTCCTTCTTCTGGTTCTCGGTGACCTGCCCCCTTGTTTGGGCCTGGAAGCAAAACCGGCTCCTGTCTCCCGGGAACCAGATGAGGAGACAGGAACCATGGGATATATCTGGAGAAAGGAGGAGGCATTCCATGTGAGGGAAAGGGGATACCTAATAAAAAATAAAACATGGCCCATCCCCACATCCCACCACCCTCCTGCCACACTGGCCTTGCAGCTACACCAATCTGTCAACCTCCTTCCCCCCACAGGGCATTTGTTCACACAATTCCACCCACTTGCAGCCCACCCCACCTACTCCACCCTCCTAGTCAGCTCTTATTCTGCCCTAAGAGCCAGATCAAAGATGGATTGCTCAGAGAAGCCTTCCGAATCTGCCTCCCCTTCCAGGTTCTAACAGCACTGTGTACTTCTAATCCATACTGCTTACCGCAGTCACAATTATACTTGTGCTGTATGCATCTTTGACTTAAGACTGTTTGCTCTACTAATTACTATATTTATCTGTTATGTCTCACGTGCATATGCATGTGTGTATGTGTAATGGAAAAATATGCTGCATATTGAGTGGAATCCTGTAGCATACATCCTTCACACCTATCAGTCCCTCCCCTTGGAATTTCCCTCAGGGCCTGTGAAGGCTGAGGAAAAAAGGTTTGGTCTGCATCCCCCTTACCTGTGACCACAAGGTCCAAGGGATTGCTGGGGGCTGACCACAGGTACGGGGATGCACTGGAAAAGCTGTAGCATCGGTAGGTTCCGCTGTGGGCAGCAGTCACTGTGACGATGGGGAAATCAGCCCGGTACCACCGCTCTGGTCCCTTGTAGGGCCCAGTGTCCCCCTCCTTGTACAGAGCAAATTGGTCAAAACCGTATTGGCTCTGACACTGCAGGGTCACGTCCCCTCCTGGGGACACCGCTGGGCTGGGCTGGGCTGAGAGCGAGGGCTTGGCGAAAACTCCTGGGAGAGAAGAGAACTCTGGTGTTAAAGATGGTGGGTGGTGCCTCAGCTGGGGAGTGGGAAGCTCCCCCAGCCTCCTTAAGAGCTAGGGAACTTTCCAGCTGAGTCCATCCTAGAGGGCCCACTCTCCGCATCACCAGCTCACAAAATGGTGGAGTGGTCACATCAAAGTGCCCCAAGCTCACATCCAGCTTCTGCTGCTCAGGGGCTGTGTGATCCTCAAGATAAATCTCCCCCCAATATCTGTGCCTCAGTGTTCTCTCTTACAAAATGGGAATGATTGAATGAAAGAATATGTATTAAGCATTTAGCAGAGTATCTAATGCATAGTAAGCACTCAAAATATGGTGGTAGTAACAAAACAGCTTAACCTTATAGTGTACCATAAGCTTATATTAGGGAACTTAATAGCTATATTGTAAACTTGTATCCAAGTGCCAGCTTCTAGGTGCTGTTCCAAGCTCATTACATATATCAATTCATTGAATCCTCTCAAAGACCTATGAATTCATCACTACGAATACCCCTATTTTATAAATGTAACTAAGGTGCACAGCGCTAAATAACTCATCTGAGGTCATAAGATAGTAAGTGGCAGAGCTGAAATTTGCAATCACAGAGTTTGACTGCAGACTCTCCACTCCTAAATGTGAACCTACAACTATGTAATGTGATATCATTATCATCGCCTGCCACACAGTACTCGCAACAACAAAAGTTGCCTCATAACTAAGGCTCATTCATTTAACAATTTTTTTCTTGAGCAACTATGATGTGTCATTCTCTGCTCTAAGAAATAAAAATCCCATTGGGAAGAAAGAATAGACAATAACTAAGATGAATTAGTAAATGTATGGCATATCAGATAGTGAGGAGTGCCATTTTAAATCTAGGTGTAATTTTAAGTAGGGTTGTGAGAGACAAGCTTAAAGAGAAGATAGCACTTGAGTTGACAAACGCTTAGTCAGACTTATTAGGAAAAAAAGAAAGACGACCCAAATAAACAAAATCAAAAATGAAAGAGGAGATATTACAACAGATACCACAGAAAAATAAAGGATTATAAGAGGATACTATGAAAAGCCATATGCCCACAAACTGGAAAACCTAGAAGAAGCCAATAAATTCTTAGAATCACACAAACTTCCAAAACTGAATCAAGAAGAAATAGACAATATGAATAGTGCAATCGCAAGTGAAGAGATTGAAACAGTTATCAAAAACCTCCCAGAAAACAAAAGTCCAGGACCAGATGGCTTTTTTGGTGAATTCTACCAAACCTTCAAAGAAGAGTTGATACTTATCCTTCTCAACCTACTCTGAAATATCGAAGAGGACAGGATGTTTCCTAACTTTTTCTATGAGGCCAACATCATCCTGATACCAAAACCAGACAAAGACAACACAAAAAATGAAAATTACAGGCCAATATCACTGATGAACATAGATGCAAAAACTCTCAACAAATATTGGAAATTGAATACAACAATACATTAAAAGGATCATACACCATGATCAAGTTGGATTTATACCAGGGATGCAAGGATGGTTCGACATCCACAAATCAATCAATGAAATACACCTCATTTACAAAATGAAGAATAAAAATCACACAATCATCTCAATAGATGCAGAGAAAACATTTGACAAGATCCAACATCCATTTATGATTTAAAAAAAAAAAAACCTCTCAGTAAAATGGGTATAAAAGGAAAGTACCTCAACATAATAAAGGCCATATATGACAATCTTCTGACGACAAGAACAAGACAAGGGTACCCACTCTCGCCACTTTTGTTCAACATAGTACTGAAAGTTTTAGCCAGAGCAATTAGGCAAGAAAAAGAAATAAAAGGAATCCAAATTGGAAAGGAAGATGTAAAACTCTCACTGTTTGTGGATGACATGATTCTATATACAGAAAACCCTAAAGAATCCACTTGAAAACTATTAGAAATAATCAACTACAGCAAAGTCGCAAGGTACAAAATCAACATACAAAAATCAGTTGCATTTCTATGCACTAATAATGAGTTTGCAGAAAAAGAAGTCAAGAATATAGTCCTTCTTACAATCACAGCAAAAAGAATAAAATATCTAGGAATAAATTTAACCAAGGGGATGAAAGACCTACACACTGAAAACCATAAGACATTATTGAAAGAAATCAAAGAATACGTAAAGAAATAGAAAGATATTTCATGCCCATGGGTTGGAAAAATAAACATAGTTGAAATGTCCATATTACCTAAAGCAATCTATAGATTTAAGGCAATCCCAATCAGAATCCCAAAGACATTCTTCACAGAAATAGAACAAAGAATCCTAAAATTTAGATGGAACAACAAAGGACCCCAAATAGCCAAAGTAATCCTGAGGAAAAAAAGGACAAAGCTGGAGACATCACAATCCCTGAATTTAAAATGTACTACAAAGCTGTAGTAGTCAAACCAGCATGGTCCTAGCACATAAACAGACACACAGATCAATGGAACAGAATTGAAAGCCCAGAAATAAAACCACACATCTATGGAGAGTTAATCTTGAACAAAGGAGACAAGAACATACAATATAGAAAAGACAGTCTCTTCAATGAATGGCATTGAGAAAACTGGACAGCCACATGCAAAAGAATGAAAGTAGACCATTATCTTACACCATACACAAAAATTAACTCAAAATGGATTAAAGTGGGGCTGGCCCTGTGGCCGAGTGGTTAAATTACGCACCCCACTTCAGCAGCCCAGGGTTTCGCTGGTTCGGATCCTGGGCACAGACATGGCACCGCTCATCAGGCCAGATGATGCCACAACTAGAAGGACCCACAATTGAAAAAAAATACAACTATGTACTGGGGGGATTGGGGGAGAAAAAGCAAAAATAAGATATGCAACAGTTGTTAGCTCAAGTCCAATCTTTAAAAAAAAAAAAGGATTAAAGACTTGAATGTAAGACCTGAAAACATAAAACTCCTAGAAGGAAATATAGGAAGTACACTCTTTGACATCGGTCTTAGCAGTGTCTTTTTGAATTCTATGTCTCCTCAGGCAAGGGAAACAAAAGAAAAAATAAACAAATAGGACTACATCAGACTAACGAGCTCTGCATGGCAAAGGACACTATGAACACAATGAAAAGACAAACCACCAACTGGGAGAAAATATTTGCAAATCATGTATCCTACAAGGGGTTAATTTCCAAAATATATGAAGAACTCATACAACTCAATGACAAGAAAATAAACAACCTGATCAAAAAATGAGCAGAGGATATGAATAGACATTTTCCAAAGAAGATATACAGATGGCCAACAGGTACATGAAAAGATGTTCAACATCACTAATTATCAGGGAAATGCAAATCAAAACTACAATGAGATATCACCTCACAACCATCAGAATGGCTATAACTAACAAGACAAGAAATAACACATGTTGGAGAGGATGTGGAGAGAAGGCAACCCTCATACACTGCTGTTAGGTGTGCAAACTGGTGCAGCCACTATGGAAAACAATACGAAGATTTCTCAGAAAAAAATAAAATATTAAAAAAAAAAAAAAGCGGGGGCTGGCCCCGTGGCCGAGTGGTTAAGTTCGCGCGCTCCACTGCAGGCCCAGTGTTTCGCTGGTTCGAATCCTGGGCACCGACATGGCACTGCTCATGAAACCACGCTGAGGCAGCGTCCCACATGCCACAACTAGAAGGACCCACAACGAAGAATATACAACTATGTACTGGGGAGCTTTGGGGAGAAAAAGGAAAAAAATAAAATCTTTAAAAAAAAACATTTCTCAAAAAATTAAAAATAGAAATACCATATGATCCAGATATCACACTACTGGGTATCTACCCAAAGAACATGAATGCAACAGTACAAAGAGATTGAAGCATCCCTACGTTCATTGCAGCGTTGTTCACAATAGCCAAGATGTGGAAACGACCCAAGTTTCCATCAACTGATGAATGGCTAAGGAAGATATGGTACATATACACAACAGAATACTGCTCAGCCATAAAAAAACCAAAATTGTGCCATTTGCAACAACGTGGACGGACTTTGAGGGTATTATGTTAAGCAAAATAAGCCAGACAGAGAAAGACAACCACTGTATGATTTCACTCATATGTGGAAGAGAAACAAACACATGGACCAAGAGAACGGCTTGGTGGTTACCAGAGGGGAAGGGGGGGCAGTGAAAGGGGTAAAAGGGCACGTATTTATGGTGATAGATAAAAATTAGACTGTTGGTGGTGAACACGAAGCAGTCTATATGGAAACTGATATATAATAATGTACGTCTGAAATTACACAATGTTATAAGCCAATATGACCTCAATAAAATAATTAAATTTACAAAAAGAAGAGCTAGGGTTTGAGTCAATCCCCAAGGCGCACATAAGGCCTGGGGGACCATCGTATGCTGGGTCAGGAACTAGGGTGAGATGAGTGAGACACCCTCCTTGGATGCAAAATGTAAATGGGTGAAAAGAAAACCCTCAGTAATCAAGATAATATTTTAACGTAACTTTTAAATCAAAATCAACGCAAACACATTCACAATAAACAAAATATCAAAATTTTAAATGAAAACAGATCTAGCTGTGCCCAGCAAAGGGGCTTGAGGCAAAAGGGGAAATGTGGGCCTCTCTACACACGTTTTCATGTATTTTTTATGGTTAATTTTTTCCACACTATTAACATTGTTGAAAAAACTATTGAAAAATTTTAAAGAAGGTTTTGAAAACACATTAAAACTTAAAACATTATTTTAAGTTTAAATATTTTATTTACATCAACAAAACCAGAATTTATCATCATTTTACTCTCCTAGCTTTCATGGAAGCAAACTCAAAAATGATATTTTCAAAACCTACTTCGGAAAATAACCATTTAAAAATGCTTTAGGGGCCAGCCTGGTGGCATAGTGGTTAAGTTCACAGCCTCCACTTCGGCAGCTGGGGCTCTCAGCCCGGATCTGAGGCACGGACCTGGCATCGCTCGTCAAGCCACGCTGTGGCAGCACCCCACATAAAATAAAGGAAGATGGGCACAGATGTTAGCTCAGGGCCAATCTTCCTCACACACACAAAAAAAAGAAGAAATTCATTAATTAAAATTAAAATGCCTTAGAAATGAAAGGCATAAGCTGAGAACATCTTATTACATCAAAAAATAAAAAACAAAAATGCAATAGAACATGGATAGGAAAATGCACATTTTTCCTTTTGCATCAGGCTCAGATGTGGCTCGGCACAGCACTGTTGGATCCCGTCTTCACTGAAAATCCTGACACTTGTTCATTGTGGGTGTTCTTGCATTAATTTCAATTTTTTTTTTGAAGGCATCGCCTTAGCATATTATTTATGTTGATTAACGAGGTTTTTTTAGAATCACCCGTAAATCTGGCACTCAAGGCCAGTGCCTCTCTTGCCCTACCCTAATCCCTGGCCCCTGGGATTTTTAGATTTACTGTCATCCTCATCCCCATCCACACCCTCTTCAGGCCCAGAGCTGAGGACCACGTAGCCCTGAGGCCACACATCCGGCCACGCCCCGCCTCCTCCCCTCCTGTTACCAGTAGCAATCAGCTCCAGCTGGTCGCTGGGGGGTGACCAGAGGCTCCCATTCTGGTAGGAGCAGCGGTAGCGTGCGGCGTGCTCTCTCGTCATGGCCGGAATGGCGAGGACGGCCTGGTCCATATACTTCCCGGATCTCAGTTTCTCCAGGCGGTACAAGTCCACACCCGGAGGCCCCAGGCAGCGGATGGTCACCGGCTTCCCCAGGGGCACAAGGGAGCTGGGCAGGGCCTGGAGGGAGGGCTTGGGCAGTGGGCCTGGAAGGGAAGCAGAGCCTAGCCGAGGCCAGCTTCCCCACAGGCCCCTCCTCCCGGACCCTCACGCCCCCTCCTGCCCTCGCACTGGCTGAACCCCGAGGAGGGATCCGGACTCACCGTTCTGAGCTTGCATCGCCTTCCCCAGACACAGTCCTGAGGACAGAAGGAAAGGACCAAACGTTAGGATGTCACTTGAACCCACACGTCCCGCATCGCTGGGCACGGTGATAAGATATGTCGGTGCGTTTGCTTTCTTCTGTCATAATTATTTTTTTTTCAAAGACACCCATGCACATAAGTAAAAGAAGGCCACGGATGGCATGATTTCATTTATACAAAACGTCCAGAATAAGCAAATCTATCCAGAGACAGAGACAGGAGTTGGTAGCATTATCTGTATGTCTCACAAGGGTTGCCAGATTCGGCAAATAAAAATATAAGACTCTCAGTTAAATTTAAACATCAGATAAACAACGAATAAATTTTTTTTGCATAGTATGTTCCATGAGATATATGGGATATACTTAGGCTTAAACAAGTATTTGCTGTTTATGGGAAATTAAATTTAACTGGGCATCCTGTGTTCCATCTGGTAACCCCATCCTTATCCCCCCTCAGACACACACACAAACAGGAAGAAAGGACTCTTACTGTTTCCGTTATAAACATTAGGAAACTGGACAGAGAGGCTAAGCCATTTCTTGTAGCACACACAGCTAGGAAGTGGTGAACCCAGATCATCCGTGACTCCAGAGCTCAGGGGGTGACACACTTGTCACCAGCCCCATCTGAGCCCCATCATCTGTCCACACCAGGTTCTTCTGTACCATGTGCCCAAGCTCCACCCATATCTTGGTCCACTGCCCAACACAACCCCACCTCAGTCCTTCCGAGGTTTCCATGCAACCCGCCAAGGTGACTGGAAATATTCCAGGTGCCGTTCTGAGAGCTTTGTGAATAGACTCAGGATCACCACAATCCTACTGGTTAGGTACCATTATAAGCCCCTATTTTATACATCAGGCTATTGAGATGGTATCTTGTCCGCGGTCCTGCAGCTGGTAAGAGGTATATTCAAACATTGGCAGCATATTTTAGTTTAAAATAATGTGGACTTGGTGCCAAAATTCCTTAGTCTGTATTCGAGCCCTAGCTGTGTGACCTTAAACAAGTTCCTTAATCTCTCTGGGCCTCAGCTTTCTCACCTGTAAAATGGGGATGATAATAGGCCCTACTTCGTTGGACTGTTTGGGGGATTAAATGAGTAAGTGTCTGTTAAAAAAAAAAAAACAGAATAATATCTAGCCCATAGTAAGTGCTACATAAGTGTGTGTTAAAGAATGAATGAATGAGAGACTGTTTGCGTTCACAGTCTGCCCTCTTATCCCCAGTAACACAACTATTTCCTTCCTGCTTGGTCCCTTGGAGCCTCTATCCCTTTAGTGATAAAGTTCTTTTAAAGAAACAAGGAAATCATGCATACGACATGGCTGGCACAAACCCCGATGAGGAGCAGGCCGTAGAAATGCACCTGACCCCACCGCCAACCCCGTTATGGGGGACTGTCCCTTTTTCCAGCTTTATGGAGCTATAACTGACAAAAATTTCTATATCTAAGAGGCACAACGTGATGATTCAATATTCTTATACAGAGTGGAATGATCCCTACAGTCAAGCTAACGAACGCCCCCATCACCTCACATAATTACCTTATTTTTGTGAGAACACAAGATTTACTCTGTCAGCAAATTTCAGGTATAAAATACAGTCACGTCAACCATAGTCACCATGCTGTCATGAGATCCCTAGAACTTATTCCTCTGATAACTGGAAGTTTGAACCCCAGGACCAATATCTCCCCATTTCTCCCACCGCTCAGCCCCGGGCAAACACCACTCTACTGTCTGCTTCTGTGAGTTCAATTTTTTTAGATTCCACACAGAAGTGACATCGTACAAGACTTGCCTTTCCCTGTCTGGCTTATTTCACTTTAGCTTAATGCCCTCCAGTTTCATCCATGTCGTCGAAAATGGCGGGATTATTTCCTCCAGTATCATGAGGGATTCTGACAAATTAAGTCTATATAATCTAGTCCTAATATCACCGAGTCCACATTAAAAAAAAATAAAAGGTGGTTTGTGGGAGAAGGTTGCAGCCGGAACTGGGAGACCCGTGTTCATTTCCTGTCCCAGGCATGAATAGACTAGAGTAACTCAGACAAACACTTCACCTCCCTGGGTCCCAATTTTCCCACCCAACAGACGAAGGGGCCCTCAGAGGTCCCCTCTTGTCCTGAAATTCATCGCTGATTCAGTTTTTTAAAAATTCTTTGCCTCGTAGCCCACTGTCTGTCCCTCAGCATTTCCCGGATGGACCCTCAGGACTCACCAAGGCAGAAGAGGGCAGGCAGCGTTGGGGACATGGTTCCTCAGCCCCTCCTGAGCTCTGCAGCCCGGGAGGGAAGCCGTGGGGGCTGGAGCAGAGACACAGGGTGTGATGAAGTTGAAGAAGCCTCCCTTCCCTTCCCCCATCAGCCCTGGCTTTTCCTAATTGAGACTCATCCAGCTGGAGCCATCCCCTCAATGGAATGACTTGCAAACAAGCTCCAGGGAGCCTCGCTTATCTCCTGTCACCAGCCGGGTGTCGCACCACATCTGCCTGTGGAGGCTTTGTCTGTGTTCCCACACTCCCATAAGCTCCCTCATATTCGTTAGGGACATCCAAATCAAAACGCTGTGAGGTATCACTTCACACCACGAGGATGGCTATAATCAAGAAGATAGGTAATAACAAATGTTGAGGAGGATGTGGAGAAGTTGGAACCCTCGTGCATTGATGGTGGGAATGGGAAACGGTGCAGCCGCTGTGGAAAACTTGTGCGGTTCCTCAAAACGTGAAACACTGAATTACCATAAGATCCAGCAGCTCCACTTCTGGGTACACACCCAAGAGAACTGAAAGCAGGAATTGAACAGATATTTGTACACCCGTGTTCACAGCAGTCAAAACATGGAAACAACTCAAAGGTCCATTGAAGGATGAATAAAAAAACTGTGGTCTATACAGCCAATGAAATATTATTCAGCCTTAAAAAGGTATGAAATTCCAGTAAACAGTATGCCACGGAAGAACCTTGAAGACATTATGCTAAGTGAAATAAGCCAGACACAAAAGGCCACATAGTATATGATTCCATTTATATGAAATACCCAGAGCATGCAAATTCATAAAGACAGAAAATAGATTAGAAGTCACCAGGGGCCATGGGGAGGGAGAATGGGGAATTATTGCACCATCTTACATTCCATCAACAGTAAAATGCATGGAAATTTTGATAAGTGTTTTGAACAAGGTGCTGAGATGGAATATTATCTGGTGCATCTCCTTAATAGGATGGTTCCATGGAACTTTCCTTTGGAGTGGTGACGTCTGAGGTTATGCCCGATGATAAGAAATATTCAGGGAAGAAAAGTACCACGTTCAGTGTACCCGAAAGCCTTAATGAAGTGAAGAGTTTGGCATTTTCTTGTAACTGGGAAGTGATTAGCGAGGCTAGAATTGAGTGAGCATGAAGCTGAGACGGAAGAGAAGATAGGGGTCAGATGAGGGTGTCTCAGCCTCGGCACTGTTGGCACTAGGGACCAGGTGATTGCTGGAGTGGGGGAGAGCTGTCCTGTGCCTTAGAGGAGGTTTAGCAGCATCTCTGGCCTCCATCCACTAGATGTCACTAGCACAACACCCCCTCCAGTTGTGACAACCAAAATGTCTCTAGACATTGCCAGATGTCCTTTGGGGAGCAAAATCACCTCCAATCAAGAACCACTGGGTTAGACCATTCAGGGACTTAAAGGGCCAGGTAAACTCGCGTGCACAAGTGTCTTTACGTTGTCACTCACTTTTCATGCATTATTTCATTTGACCTTCCCACAGCACTGAGAAACAGGTGCTGCTTTAGGTCCATTCTGATAAGAAAACTTGAGCTTAGGAGAAAATTTCTTATGCTAGTTGACGCTTAGGTGCTGGAAGCTGAGTAAATCATTTTCCTCTGGCTTAGCATGTGTTCACATGGAACTAGGCAGAATCTCTCCTGTTTGATTGATCTGTGCCCTCTAGTTCTCATTTCTTTTCTCCACCTCAAAGGAACAGCTCTAAAATATTCCACGTGAATTAGCTCATTTCTGCAAAACATTGTGTCTTGCAAAATGTATATTGTATCATCAATTGTATAATGCTGTGGAAGTCATTCATTTTTCCACTGCACACTGAGCTTTTACAGTCCATTCGTATACCTGTAAAACATTTATTTGCTTCCAATGCATTTATCCCTCTCCTGTCTCAGTGATGGACAGCCATATTACATCCAAATATCTCTACTGTAAGCGATTCCGAGCTAAATGTCATTCTACGTGCACTCCCTACAGACACGTGCCTTTAAAATATATACCCAACAGGAAATTGCCGTGTCTTAAGTTAGGTGTGTCTTTAATTTACTCACTGCCAAATTGCACTTCAGATTCACTGCACCAGGTTCCTCTTCCACAGCAGAACAAGAGGGTCCCCATACCTCCCAATACACCCAAAACCTGGGGTCATCCAGCCTTATAATCTCTGCCAGTCTGCTGGTATATTAGCCTGCTAGGGCTGCCATAAAAAAGCATCACAAACTGGGTGTCTGAAACAACAGAAATTTGTTGTGTCACACTTCTGGAAGGTGGAAGTCTGAGATCAAGGTGCCAGCAGGGTTGGTTTCTTCTGCGAACAGGCAAGGGAAAACCTGGTCCATGCCTCTCTCTTGGCTTCTGGGGATTTGCCAACAATCTTTGGCGTTCCTTGGCTTGTAGATGCATCGCCTCGATCTCTGCCTTCAGGTTCATGTAGCATTCTCCCTATGTGTGTGTGTCTGTGTCCAAATTTCCTTTTTTTTTTTGTAAGGATGCAAGTCGTATTGGATCAGGAGCCCACCCTACTCCAGTATGACCTCATCTTATCCTAACTAACTACATCTGCAGTGACCTTATTTCCAAAGACGTTCCCATTTGTGAGGTAGGGGTTAAGGACTTCAACATATGGAGGGGACACAATTCAACCTGCAACAGATGGGTATCAAGCAATATCATGTCATTGCTGCAATTTTCATTTCTCTAATTCCTAATGAGGTCAAGCATCTCATCACATGTTCAACTGAGCTTGTATTTTCCCCTCTATAAATTGCTAGTGTCTTTCTGGCTCATAGAATAATTTATGAAATGCATACATCATCATGCAGCTAGTGGGTGCAGAAGCAGTTTGAAGCCAGGTTAGCCCATCTGTTCCAGAGTCTGAGCTCTCACGAATATGCTGTCTCACCAAGTGTCAATCATCTCTCACTCTCCAATGTCGCCCACATTATTTTCTCCCCTGGTTTATTTCCATCAGTAAATATACATGTTCAGTTCCCCTCTATTTCTTCTACTTCTCACTCCAGACCACATCTCCATGTCTCTGGTACCTGTGTCACTGAGTCCACCATCAGCTTCCTTCTCTACTTCCTCTCACCAAAACTTATTGAAAGAGTTATTTTTAATACCAACTCCAATTCATCTCCTCTCATTCACAGCTCCTTTTTTTACCATGTGCTATTTATTTTAATTGCATAATTGAAAAGGGAAATTCATCAAAACCGGAGGAAAACCATAAATCCCCTTCAAACCCCCTCTGTACCATTCCCCTCCCTAGGAGTAACCTCTCCTGTGGTCAAATTGTTCTATTTTGCATTTTTGTTCCTTCACAAAGAACCTTGTTCACTTTTCACTACTTTGAAGTCTTTGGCTCTTAACTCCCGGAACGTTGGACCAAAATGCCATTAAGAATGTCCTCCTTGCCCAGTTTGACTCTTACTTCTTCTTGACGTGTCCTCATATTTGGTACCTGTGAGTGCTCCTTAAATGTACCTGGACAGTTGTGTCTGCTCAGTGACCGAAAGCATCCTTAGTTCTGCTCTGCAGGTCACTCCCTCTTTACTTTCTAAGGGCCAGATCACATGGCTTGCCTCTTTCAGTAGACCATGAGCTCCTTGAGACTAGAAGCTATGTCTTACAATATGTATATCCCCAGCACAGGTCCAACGAAAGAGTCAACTTCTGTAAATATCTGTTGAATACACAAGTGAGTGGATAAACATACAAAGACCCAGGAATCTGTCGAGACATGTTTGATGGATCTTGGAATTTTTAGACAGTTGACGAGGCTTCTCTACTCTTGAGTCTTTGGGGAGCCCCACGATGATGACTGGTGTTGAGAGACGTGAGTAGGACACATTCCTTAAGGAGCACTTGAACGCTGGAATCCACCAGCCAGTTCTGGCTCTGCGCTCAGGACAAAGTGAGGGTGGCATACACACAGGGCTGTCTAGAGGAGTCCTCAAAGGTGCAGGAGAGCAGTGGAGACACACTGTCCATAAGGGTCTCCTGGTGTAGCTGAACATAGGTCACCTCCTGTGGGGACCTGTCAGCATGGAGATACAGTGATAAGAGAGCATGAGGGAGAGGAGACTGGGGAAAGAGAGGCGATGGGTGAGGCAAGTTCCCCTGCGTGTCTGCCCCTCTGTCCTTCTCAGGACTGACGACCTCCAAGACATCACCTCCAAGGAAAGATGAGGGGGTAGGCCTCCAGGGAGGGCCTTCAAATTACCCAGTCCCACAATCTATCTTTCCCCCTTTTCCCCATGCTTGAAGTCAGGGAAGGGCAGTGACATCACAGCCAGTAAGGTGGTGCCCCCACCTTTTCCACTTCTTCCGGGATGCCTTCTATCTTCCCCTGAACACATGCTTTCGCCATGCCAGCTGCCCCTCCTTCTCACTCCCCCTTACATTGATTTTCTTCCTGAAAGTCCGTGCCTGGGGTGGAGTTGAGAGAAAGGAGATAGAAGCATTAAGGTAGGTCTGAGAAATGAGGCAGAAGTAGAGTTTTTTTTGTTGGGGGAGTCAAAATTTTCCTACCTCTTATACTTCATCTGCCTCTTGGTCCCACCATTCATGTCCCCTACAAATAGTCAGTGATCAGAGTCCTGGTAGATGACCCACCAAGCCCCTCCCCACACTCTTCCCAGGTTAACCCTTCCATCTCCAGGTTATATTGCATTGACGAAATGCCAACATCTGCAAAGGAGAAAGAAGAGGAAGAGGAGAAGGAAGACACCAACAGCCAAGATCCCAATCACAATGAGAAAGCATCCATTTTCAGAAGTAGGTGGATCTAGGAATTAATAAACAGTAAAGATCTCTTATTGAGTTCCTATTGGATTAATTCATCCGCTCAACAAACATCTATTGTGTGCCTACCACATACGAGGCAAGTTCTTGGATGTCTGGGAAACTGTAGTGAACCTACGCAACAACAGAGTCTACTCATGTGAACCAATAAATAGAAGTGTTGTTACTCATAGAGATAAATTCTATGACAAAACTATTTACACCGCATTATAAGAGAAGGTTTCTTTGGCAGATGAGCCGTGAAGGATAAGAAGCACCCAGATCTCTGAAGTGCAAGGGGAACTGCCTTCCAGGCAGAGGGAAGAAC